CGCAAATTCGTCATAGTACGAATTGATTGAACCAAAACAATGTTCAAACGAGAATAATGCAACGAGTTTAAATACATGATTTACGCCATCGGGCAAAGTCATCCATTTCGTCGACTATCGTTTCTCAATCGATAACATATTTCTCGAGAAGGAAACCGAATGTCGACGACGTATTAAGCCGATTAAAGGAAGGACGCCCGCTCGTGTGGGTGTGCGTGTGGGTGTGCGTTAGTTGAAGTTTGCGCGACGGTTAGAGGACATCGGTTAATATCCATCTTATAGAGTTTGATCTTCAGCGAGAGTAGAAAAGTCGATGCACTTTGTTGGATTTTGGAACGCTATAAAGTTTTTCCCACTTTGTTGCTTTTAATTTATGTCACTTTCTGTATATTCAGAAAAGTCCGTGTTCGAATTAGCATCGCCCAATGACATTATCGAGCGTGTACAATACGCTTTAATAATTGCATTCAGTTAATAAATTCATAAATCGAACGCTTATTTAAACTGTCGATGAGCACCAACTGCGGCGACTGCTCGCTAAGGTAGTCCAAGCTAACTTCCAAGCGAAATAGTGTCGGCCAAAGGACAATCAGATTATGACGCCAGCAAGCAAAAGCACTCGTGCTCGAGAATACGACCGAGTATTTCATCTTGCTAAGCTAAACACTCGGATACTGTGCCAAGAGAGAGAGAAAGAGAGAGAGAGAGAGAGAAAGAGAAAAATAGCTCATTACGCCCCATGTTGATAACAGGTAGATCCAATTTCAAAATGGAACAGACTTCTGGGCCAAATTTCTCGTTAGAGGAACTAGATAGTCGAAAATGGACTTTTTTGTTCTATTTAACAACCTCTTGAAGGATTCGTTTCTTTCGATATTTAGGGAAAAATAGTTGGTAGTTTGTAACTAGTATCTCAAAGAAAAGATATATTTTTTGTCACTTTATCTTGTTTATCTTAAATCAAGATGATAGTTGGGATTAGCCAAAAGTTAGCTAATCTCGCGTAAAGTTTATAACAGAGGTAGTTTTAGTAGAATCGACTAAGCCTTACTTGCTAACAAATACGGAAAAGTATTAAACTCGCAGTATTTTATTACAGCAACGATGAGGGTTGCGTCTCAGTGAGTTGACTCAGCGGTGTAAAAGCATCGACCAGAGCCACGTTACGCGGTTCCAGTAATTACCGAAGCGGTTAAAAAGAAGGGGAAGCACGCTGCCAAGTGCTCCGAGCCAAAATAAATACGTAACTTTCCGATGCGTATGTGCCTTTCGTTGAACACAACCTATACGAGCTATTCCCTTTGACACAAGAAATTGCGTTAACGACGAGATAAAAACTCTTCTTCTATCAGCCGCGTTCGCGGAACATATGAAATTCGAGATACAAACTATTCCTTTGCGATCCTTCGAGGAATTAGTCTTTGAACGCGAGCATACGCGTTCCCTGCTTCCTTAAATTATCATAGAACGAACGTTCTAACCAACATTCTTGTCATCGAGAATTTCTTTCGTCGATGAATATCCAATGAGAGATAAATACGTTATATTCGTGCATATATTACAATGTTTTCCTTTTCTCTTTTTTTCTTTTTTTTTTTTCTTTTTTTGTTCACACGTTAAGTATCCATTTAATCGTGTATTTACGAAGATCGATCATAAACCGACAAGATAAAGTAAATTTTTAGACTTATATCGCGTGCGAAAGAAAAATAGGCCTAATCGATCTATCATCCTCGTCTTTCAAGCTGTCAGGCAAGAACCATCATTATTTCTTACGTTTTCATAACTCCACTTGGGTCGAGGATTATACCGCAGAATACAACGATATCGACAGAACGTCTTTTTCACTGTATAGAATGTACCCCTCTTCTACTTTGGCAGATTTGCCTTCTTTTTTCATAGAATCCTCAGAATTTCAGTGATAAAGGTCCTTCGAGATTATCGTACCTTAAGAACTCGCTCGATATTGTCGTCCATAAAAGTTAATCTTAGGTGACAAACGTTGATGGAGAGTTTCCAATGCAATTTCAATTTCGTTTTCTTTATCCCTTATGTACTACATACATATGTAGATACAAGTATATCAATGAATTTCTCTACATAGTTCATAGACACATCGAGGTTATATGATCAACGATGGCGATACTCAAGGGGCCCGAGAAACGGCAATATCCACACCGATCGATCGATCGTCGAAGGCCACATCGAAAGCCCAACTTAATCGGTCTCGCGCATCTGCATCATATGTATTTATATATAAATATACATATATATATATATATATATATATATATATATATATATTTGATCGTATACATACATATACAGACGGAATTCTAGCCGACGCGTGCGATGCAAAACCTCAGGAATTTAACTCATTCGAAACATTGAGTTTATCAAGTCTCTTCCAGCGAAATAAACAGAAAAACAAAGAAAGAGAGAGAGAGAGAGAGAGAGAGAGAGAGAGAGAGAGAGAGAGAGAGAGAGAGAGAGAGAGAGAGAGAGAGAGAGAGAAGATGCATCCAGCCTGCAGGGATTTCTTTTTCGTTTCCGAACATCGACGTCTATTTCACGTACTAAGTCTCCCCGACGATATCTACGCGGATTGCCATCGGCAAAAGGGTTGCAAGTCGAAGCAGCCTAGGATTAAATAGGGCGGAACGATCGTTAGGTGTCTCATAATTATATACACTCGTGGCTTTTTCCTTCCTACACCATACCGTATATACCTACGGATAAACACAGACACATATGTCTCCTCCAGGTAGAGTTCATTTTGATTTTATAACTAGCGCGACGATAAATTGAGAAGCGAATGAACGAAAGAGAAAAAAAAAGAAAAGAAAGAAAAGAAACTATCAATGTCGACAAAAGTTATTAATGAGATCAATCAGAATCGTTCAAGGATCGATCTACGTCGATTCTTGAAACCGGTTGATTGAAATATAAATTGATACGCTGTATGAAATGCTGTGTATCCTAAGAACGTAGATAAGCTTTTCGACGTTAAAAATGAGGCGCGTTAGCCTTGTTGATGCATACGTGTACCTGTCGATTAAACTTCGAGCGACAGAAATTTCGTAAAACAGGCAGAGAAATCGGAGGCGAACGAACGTTCGTAAATAATTAAATTTCATATTCTCTCTGGGGAACGTTTTACACGGCACGTGTCTTTTTGAGATTGACGTCGTTCAATGATTTAATTCGATGAGATAGCAGTCAGTTTCAACTCGATAGGGAAAGGTTCACCTTCCACCTGCTTCGCATTATCCGATTCGTACAGAGAAAGATATGGGTAACGGGATATTGGAATAACGGGATATAATTACGTAAGCATGTTTCGTAGCATACAGAAAGGGGAGAGGCTGTGTCATTCGTTATGCACGTATTTAGGAAGAATTGACAGGTACATCCGCTTAGCTTGATTAAACTTCACATTATCGAGGGGATAGCCAAGCTATGATATAACGACGAAAGACCAGTCCTGTCATTTCTACGTATGATCGTGCCATTCAAGACCATACGTACATATATGATATATCGTATATAGCGGTGTATATCTACATATTACGTAGAATGGTACGGCCAAGCGAATAATTGTTTAAGCCGAATAATCCGTTTCTCCTGGCACCCTTTGTTTTCTCTTAATTTTAACGCGACTATGGTACGCGTCCACGTGTCGACGACCTGCCTTTTTTTCTTCGAGCGTGCTCATCGTAAAATCAATAAGTTGCCTCTCTCTCTCTCTCTCTCTCTCTCTCTCTCTCTCTCTCTCTCTCTCTCTCTCTCTCTCTCTCTCTGCTTGCCTTTTTCTCCTTTAGTCCTTTTTTGTTTTTTATACCTCATTATAACTTTCGTTGGACGAACAGTCGCAATATCTTCAATTTGTTTACAGGGCGTTAAAATGTACCGAGTACAGGTCAGAGTAATCAGGTGCATTTTCCAACGTTATTCTATGTCAACGAAGAAATAGAGAAGGAGAAAGCTACTACGTTAGGAAGAAGCTACTAAGCAACTCTACGATCCCTTTGTCTACCGTCGACTTTACAACGATAGTCGTAAATGTAGTATGTACACGCTCGTTACACGATCGCGTTCACGAGACAGACCGAATCGATCGATATCGTTGCCACCAGCAATAGCAGCATCAGCAGCAGCAGCAGCAGCAGCAGTAACATAACAACAGCAACGTACCATCGAGATTCATCTGCGGCATGAAGGTGATCGATAACCGCGAATGGACGTGCCAAGGAATTTCCGTGGCTTATCAGAGCAACAGGTAAGGAATCGAATAGAGGTTCGTTTCGACGAAAAGAAAAGAGGAGATAAATTTAGGAAATATTGGAATAACGCGTTCGACGTTATTCTAATGGGCAAAAAATGCGGAAATGAAGAGGATAAAATAACGGAGGAGAAGAAGAAGAGGAAAGAGGAGAAAAAGAAGAGATCTTTTTACATTCTGGTTAAATAAGAAACGCATGGTACATTATAATCGAATAAGGAATCACGGAACGCTCGTTAACGTCCCCGTTCGAATGGCCTACCATGGATGCAAATCCTCTTTGGCTCTTTGGAAGACCATTCGCTGTTCGTTCACCAGAGGGACAAGGAAAGATAAGAGATAAGCGTACCTTCCTCGGCAGTTTGCACGAGGCTTTCTCGTTTGCTAACTCGCTGCTGTTTCTCAGTACAATTTGCATATCGTTCCTGAGTCGCTGTGTAAAACGTATCTACTCCTCTTTGCACATACGTCCTCCTGTCTTAACTTTCCACAGTTGCTTTTTTGCCTACTCGCTGACCTCGACCTTACCGAACGATTTCCTTTTTACCAAGATCACGAATTTTAGAATTTTTATCCAACCTTTAGAATTTTTATCCAACCTTTAGAAATTATATTCAAACATTATTGTAATTTTTTTAATTAAATTACAAGGGGTTCGTAAGCGAGGGATATTTTTTTCCGCTTGGAAAAGTTATTATGCTCGTAGGAAGAAACTCTTGGAATCGTGACGGATCTATTTAATCGTTCTTGAGGATAACATTTAACCAGCTCTGCTAAATCCCCTTTCAACTGTAGCAAGACACGCGATAGCGAGGAATTATAAATATCAAAGACAGAGAATTACATTCTGGATTTCGTAACTAAAAGAATTTCAAAACTCGTGTATATCGATAGAATGGACAAGATTGTCCTTGAGCTTAAAAAGAAAAAACTAAATCAGTTCAGCGTTCTACAAGTTCGAGAGGTCTTTCAGGAAAGTCGATGTTCCAGATCAAAATGGTCACCGATCAATACGAGTAGGTTCGAGGTCTCGTTCGACAAATTTAATTCTCCAGGGCTACTATGCTCGAGCTAATTCAGTGCTAGAATCTCATGGAATATCGATCAAAGTTCCTCGAATGATAATATTTTATCCGACGGCATCTAAGAATTTCGTAATACGTGCAAATTGATGTACACGATATTTACTAATAACGAAATTTTCGATGAATCCATTAATATTTCAAACAAAAATGATATATATATATATATATATATGTATGTACGTATGTATGTATGTATGTATGTATGTATACATGTATGTATGTATAAATGAAGGAAAAAAATGCGCAAGACAAGTAAGTCGACGTTACGGAAACGTTCACTTTATCGGCCCCACTCAAGAGAGAGAATATTTTTCTCCTTGCTTTTTATGTACCATAAATTCGTGCCAGACTACGAGGCCATTTTTCCGTGGCTCTGGACCGCGTTGATCATTCCGAAATGACTCTGGGGAGAGAACGGAAAGATGTAAAAAAATGATCTCCAAAAGGAAAGGAATTTTCCAAGCTGATCACGTTTCTGGGTCGTCGATTTTCCGATCAATCGTTCGCGAATCTCACCTAACGACGTTACTACGCGCGATACGCTACGCGCGCTCGCGAAGAATTTCCACGCATGGTTCGTATCTGGCTTGATTCGATCACGAATAGCGCGAAATAGTAAACGTGGACGCTCGTTTGAATACCGGCCGATCGAAGCATCAATATAGGAACAACGTTCTTTCGATAATTTCTCGGTTTTCCAATTTTCCCCGTAAAAGTTCTCATGCCGAGCAAAAAAAAATTAAAAAAAAAATGTATTGGCAATCTCGTAACAGAGGATCAAACTCGAATAGTAAACGATGCGACGTTAATCTCCCTTTATTCATTTCATTTTCTAATATCTAATTATTATTTCACAGAGCCCGCTCGTTATTCTTTCTTCGAATTATACCACGTGCGATTATTAATTATTCGCAACGCGAAAATTCGACGCTTCGTCGCGGTTTCGCTCGATCGATGCGTTTTAATTACTCCGAGTTGTCAGCGACACGTTTTTCGATGCACATCGTGTTGCTTTTCATTTAGGAAAGGTACGGCAAGGAGAAGAGATGGCAAAATTTAATCACCGACTCAATTTATGAGTACACGCGCCGAGTCATAATTGAGTCACGTTTAACCGACTCGGAACGTAGCACGGCCTCAAGAAAATAACGTGGCGTTTTTTAAATAGGCACGAAATCCAGATATAATGGATGATAGTTCTCTTTGCATCTTGTTTTTACATTTACAGTCACCTATCCAGCTCGAGAAATGTTATTTGCTCTTTTTTCTTTTCTCTCTCTCTTTATATACATATATACATACATATATATATATATATATATATATATATATATATATATATAAAAGGACGATAAATTCTATCGTTCTCTCTTTCTTCCGTTCTTCTTTCCCTAACGTAGCTAGTGTCACCAGAAACTTCTCGTCGGCTTATACGACGAGCGACACGGACCGTCTGCCTTCCAGAACAATAAAATTCAATAAAACTCTCGCTAGGACAACCTAAACACAGCGTGCAAGATTCTTCTTTTACTTCTACCATCTCTCCTTCGAGAACTCGCGTCAATGCCGTTTTTTTTATATATATCAAATTTCTGAAGCGTTCTCCAAACGAAAGGAGTAGCATTCCTCCTACACGATTAGATCTCGCCTAAGGAAATTTTCAAACTTTAAGTCTTATCCGGCGTGTTTATGTCCCATTTTTTGGATCAACGAGATACTTTTTTGAACTTTGTCTATCTCGTTTCAAACATCGTCTCTCGCACGAAAGAACTTGACGACCTTTATAAGAGGGAAAAGTAATTGAATAACGTGTTTCATTAGACGTTCCGAAACTTTAAAAGGATCGGATGTTTCCAGTAGCGACGATAAAAAGGAGCCAGGGAAAGGAAGAGAGAGAAGTTTGGGATCTAAATCATAAAGATAAAAGGAAAGGTAATCGAGTACAAAAAAGAGTGAAATGTCGCAGCGAATGAAACGGCTAAATGGGGGCCGTAACAGGCCCGAGGCTCGCAAGAAGACGAGATTAAATTTGTTTAGGAGGACTTTTGTACGGACGTTTACCGTGTTTAAGCAAACGCATGTTCTCGACTTATTCTCTATCCGTCTGCTTTCAAGACGTCGACGAACTAACTCTTCGGTCTTTCTTTCGTTTTCTTTTTATTCCCTTTCTTTTCGAATCCAAGCATGATGAAACGAACGTTTTTCTCCCTCCGAATCGTAAGGGTCGAAAGACTCTCTCTTTGCGATTCCACGGTTCGTTTATCGAGATGAAATGGAAGGTAACGATTGGCACTCTCGATACGATGCCCAACAAAAGTGATCGAGACTATTCGACGCCATCTTTTTTAATTTTTTTTTTTCTTTTTTTTTTTTTTCTTTTTTTTTTCTTTTCCGCGAAATATTCGAATCGCCTAAACATCAATATTTTTTCACTACGATTGAAACCGAACAAAATAGAGATTTTGCATATTTCACGTTTCAAAAATATTTTTGCGAAACAAAAAATACGAGAAAGAGAGAGAGAGAGAGAGACGTATCTTTGCTTCGATAGATACTCTATAAAATAAAAAGAATACCCGATAATCGATTCCCTTTTCAGATTCGGTCAAATACCATTTCATCTTGCGCTTAAATAGCCGGTACCTCTTAACATGAAGGTAAACGAAGAAGTACAATGGCATTTTATATAATCTCGAGGCAAACTATAATGCCACGAACAAAAGGAATTCAATCCCAGCTTTACATCTCATCGAGATGCTGAAAGTCTCGATCGAACGAAATGCGAAAAGATTAATTCGAGCGTGTTGAACGAGATGAAGGTGGTTAAGAATATAGAAAATGAATAGAGAAACGAGGAAGAAATATGATCGAACGATCTCGTCTTAACTTAAATTTTGTCTTTCGTGATGGCCACTATCCTTCGCTTATTCTCCACGCTGAATAATAAAATTATATTCATGAAGGAAATTGCGCTAATGGCAATGGAACGAGGTAATCTTGGAAATCAGGAGTATACCCCCTCTATCTTGAATACTCTCGGCGATATTTTTCAAGGGCTTTCCAGAGGATATAATTCTGACCGGGGCGTAGCTATACAATAATTAGCGGCCAACTACAAAGCGATCTTTCTATGGCGCGAGATATTCATCCACCCACCCACCCACCTACGAAACGCAGCAATTTTCCTTCTATAAGAAACTTCTTAATTAGCGCGTTCCACGCGAGAGCAACGCGTACGTTTCATCGACCAACGTATCTATTAACTACGTACGTACAGATACATACGTACGTATTTACGTAGGTTTATACGTAGAATACGCAAAACGATACCTTCTCTCGCTTTATCAAATTAATTCATAGCCGAGAATCGAGTCGAGTCGAGTCGAGTCGAGTCGAGTCGAGTCGAGTCGAGCATCGTTAAATCCTTCATAAACGACGAAAGTTTGACTTGTCGCTTACGCGAAACGCCCTCCTGATTGTTCCCGTAGCGCCTCTGCGTTACGCGTTTTGCTCTTTATAACCTCGTACGTTTTTCGAATTGGACCACGCCTCGTTGATTCCACGAGAACTTGGATTATTTTGATAATGCAATAACCGCAATCCAATTTATTTCACGTACATTATTACCAATAAATATGAGATTCTTTTAAGCATTTGACATCGTTGAAAGGAAAACGAGTGAGGATTTTATGCGATCGACATGGACGTTGGTCAATCGTTAAATATTTATACCGAGACATCCCTCGTACTTTGGCGAGTAGCGAATATAATCCATAGGTATTCTGCTCGGATATGTGTGGGGCAAACCATGGTGCCATTTAACAGTAACACTATTTTATTACTAATAAAAAGTACCATAGTCATTTGGAGTTGAGAAAGGGGAGAAAGAAAAATAATTCTTCCATCCGTAAGATAAAGATTATAGAACACTTCTCAAATATAATAAATCATTTCTGTCCGGATCTCGCCTTATAAAATAATTGTCTTATAAATATTTATTCGAGAGAGAGAGAGAGAGAGAGAGAGAGAGAGAGAGAGCGTGAATACCGTCCGAAGATGAGTTTGTCTTAATTAGAAAGAAAAAGAAAAAGTGATAAGAGATAAAGAAATAATAGAAACTTTATTTTCTTTCTTTATATTCGCAAAAATGGATTGTCATTTGACTCGCACAAATAGGATAGAAGATGAATACGTTTTATACGAATGTTCTGTGAGGAACGTGTTCCTCGAGAGTGGAATACAAGAGAGTTCCAATGTAGCTTTATCGAAGAAAAGGAAAAAGAAATAGAGGAAGACGATCGATAGTTCAGAGAACTGTCGTATAATAGGCAAGAAGCGAGGCTCTCGCCAAACGAACCATCAGGATTATAATTGTAACAGGCGCTATTATTAAACGTGCTCTTTCGTCGTAATGTGATGTGCGAGTAGGAACGAACAGAGAGAGAGAGAGAGAGAGAGAGAGAGAGAGAGAGGGAGAGGGAGTTTTGAAAACCAATAGCTAAAGGAACAGCGATCGTAGCGATCACAATTGTCGCGACATATCGTTCGTGTCGCTGAGAGAAACTCAGAATGAAATACGAACCGTTGGAAAAGCTTTAATGCATTCCATTATTTCTCAGTTTATAGGGAGTAGGTCGCATCTGTGAATTCCTCATTCTAAAATGGACTACTCGCGATCTATCTTTGGAGAATGTCTAGGACTTGTCCAGAAGCGACAACTTTGCATTCTCGAATTCAGTAACAGCCTTTCAACGTATGCCATAGCCTACCGTTCGCCGGCCCTTTTTAACAATCGATAATATCTTTTGACGTTGCTACTTCGTTTCATTAAAATCCTATTATTATTTTATTCCTTGGCTTCCATTCCAAAGAAACTTTCTACCTGTTCTATTCTGTTGTTAACTAAGCTTTAAAGTTAGCCTTACATCGAAATACATTATCTTGGCTGTTCCTTAAAATTACAATATCGTAACTTGATTATCGTCAATGGCCAAAGGCATTTATCAATCCGTTGAAGCGCAACGCACGTTCAACGGGATAACAAAGCTCTCGACGGAACATCACAGATGGTTTTACTCGTCTCGGTGAAATTGTTAATTAACGCGAACCACGCCCGTAATCGAGCGCGTTAAAGTGTTATTACGGAACAATAACGGTTCTCTTCTGTTTTACCGGCATTCTAATAATTTCGTAATCCACGGGATTCGTGCGTCAAACGGTACGTTTCTTGCCGATTATCGCAACTTGTACATTAACGCGAACAATTTCGCGATTCTACAAGAGCTATATTCTATTAGCTTCCGTCGCACTTTTTCATAAAAAAAAAAACCTAAATGCTCGGGCTTTTTTTTTAAGTGGAATAAAAAGAGAGAACTAAAAACAGCAAGCAAGAAGAAAAGAGAGAAGGAAACCATGTGGGAAGAGAGAGAGAGAGAGAGAGAGAGCACAACTTGCGATATTAAATTCTAGAAATACCGTCGCGACCGAAATCCTTCGGCGGGTAATTAAAAATAATTTAGCGATTCAATCATGAAATTATTAGAGCGAGACGTTCTACAAAATGAAAAGAGCAATCGAAACGATTCGTTCTTCATAGAAGGGCCGACCTTCTTTCGCTGGTTAGCGAATTATTCCGTAGTGCGTTAAGACGCTTAGATTCCCTTGAAAGAGGATGCTCCTTCAATTCTCTCAATTCGCTTATCACGGAAGAAGATTCCCTCCTTCCCTCCCTCCCTCCCTCTCTCTCTCTCTCTCTCTCTCTCTCTCTCTCTCTCTCTCTCTTTTTGGCCATACCTGAGATATTTCAAAGCGAGATCCACTTCCGCATGGAAATATTTCGAATCCTGATTCTCAAGCTTCGAGAGGGAAAAAATTTCAAGGTAAAGGATTTGCCCTCTTATTCGGTGTTCCTTACAGCTGGAGGCGTGCCGCCGACTTCTTTGCTGTGTGGAGAGGGTGTGCAGAAGCGGAAATACGATCGACGAGAACGAACATAAGATCAATCGTGGTCGACGAGGCGCACAAGCGGGCCCCGAACTGGAGGGGCCCTCCGGTGCCGAAGATGGCATCCTTCCCATCACCGTTAGCCCTAGTCCTGCCTCGACCTCTTCGCAGGAGGATGCCTGCAAACCACCGCCACGCAATTGCTATCGCCTCGTCATGCTCGGCAGCGCCAGGGTCGGCAAGACCGCCATTGTAGCACGGTAATCCTATCCCTTACGAATATTTTTGCTTTTCATCCAGCTAAATTTCCATTACGATCAACGTTCTTATTTGAAATTATACAGACTATTCCGTATATACGAAGTAAACGTATTCCGAGCGTTTTCGTTTACACATTAAAAAAAAAAAAAAAAAGCTCATTACAGTCGAAGAGAATTGCATCCTTGGCCGTTACTTGCGGTAGCGAATGAGAAAAAGAAAAAATAAAAAAGCCCTTGGGCTTTACAACGGGCGTAATTAAAGCATTATGTTCTCGTCGCTCGCTAGGAAGGTAACGAGAGACACGAGCGACGCGATCTAACGACTTTTACTGAACTTTCTAAGATCGCCAAGTTAGATGGAGAAGTTTAAATCTGCCCTTAGAGTTTCGTTTGATATATTTGAGTCTACGTTACAAGGACTATTTCCGATTAACTGCTCTTCATTTTTTGATTCTCGGATACTCGAGTAAATATCAATGCGCGATTTTATCCGACGCATTAAAAATCGACGAAATCAATAAAAATGACTAAATACGTATGAAAGGATTTGTTCGTTCCTTCCTTCGTTCGGAAAATCCTTTTCAAAGAAACCTTTTCTTCGTTTATGCATATATATATATATATATATATATATATATATATATATATATATATCATCTGATTCTTCGCGATCGGCTATTGAAATGAAACACGTGAAGCATTCAGCGAGTACTAATAACGTAGAGAACGATATTATTCCATTAATCCATCGTATTTATCGATGCAAATTATATCCCGCATGTATTGTGTCGCATTTTCCTTATTGCCGTATTATCGCGCTAACACAACGACCGATTCATACGTTCCACGCATACAAATCGCGTCCGGCGTTATAATCGCTGTCAAAAGCCTGCGATATAAACGTGTCTTATCGACAAACAGAGGAGAGAAATAGAAAGTGATGAATATATTTGGCTATTACAACGAAATAAATTTTATATTATATATTCCATCGGATAAATAGATTGAAACGAACATATCATGATTATAAACGCATATGTGTATAAGCAATAGGATGAAGATATATTTAAAATGTTCGAAGCGAGTTTAGCCAATTTCGTATTTGACAAGGCTGTTCATTTCCGCCTTTGCGACTATTCGTTACGTCAAATTGACAAACCGCGACCCAGTCGAGCCTCTGTGAATTTCCCTAATTTCAGGGTAATTACGCGACTCGTTTCGGTGAGAGAATCGTGATCGAGGGGAGCACAGTTTCAATCGTGGAAAATGGAAACTCGAGTCTATTGTTTTTGACAAACGACTGAGAGATGATGATTGATGTAGGATAATGTACGTTGCGCAAATCGGACGATTTTATTAATGTTTATCGATCAAATGTTTTCAGATTTAAAAAATATTCCATTTCAGATTTTTATCCAACAAGTTCGAAGAGAGTTACACCCCTACGATCGAGGATTTCCACAGGAAGCTTTATAGAATCAGGGGCGAAGTGCATCAACTTGATCTCTTGGACACCAGCGGAAACCATCCCTTTCCTGCCATGCGACGATTATCCTTCCTAACCGGTAAGTCCGAGTCGCAGGACGAAAAGCGACGATAAAGCATCCACATCTTTTGTTCTCCACTTACGAGAACGACCCTCTTCCCATCTTTCGCTCGCAGCTCGAACGTAACGGGAATTTCGTACAGGAAAATTCAGCGGCGTATTACCTCGAAACAATAGCTGGCTCGACTTTGCGACGTTATCTCAATGATCCGTGGGAACACCGTTTCCAAGAAGAGAGAGAGAGAGAGAGAGACATTCAAATTTTCATAGTAGGATTAGTCGAGATTACCGATAAAAACAGGGATGACAAGCCATCGCGACTATATCTACAACATTTTACATATTATATACGGCCATCTTCGGATAAACCAAAAAGCCGATCGATTCTTTTTTCGCTAAACTTCTTTCTCTCTCTCACTCTCTCTCTCTTTTTTTTCTTTTCATAAATCTTCTTAAAAGAAAAAAAAAAAAATGCTTTTTCGTCATATCACTCGTAAACGATCGAAAACTATTATACGTATACTTGTTACAATTTCCAAGGAAGCGTTAATTAGTAACTAGTTCCAATATCATTCTTCATTTCTCGTCGACGTTTACATTCGCGGCTCGTCGCAATATCTTGGCGAGCGAACTTGTTACGCGAAGCTACGTACAGTACACGATCCAACTTATTAGCTTGTAAGCTTACTCGTTTAAACTGCGTTACGGTATGCATTAATATTACGTTGTCGATATGTAGATAGGTATCCAAGTAGAATCTAGCAGGAAGCATATATAGATAATATCCAGAGCTTCGTCGAACGGAAAGCACGAATGTATTTCGTGGCATGCTTCGACGTAATCTTCTCGATGGGTAAGGAACTTGGAATTATAGAATTATTATATCGGCTTATAGAGAACGCGAATTTTGTTTTTTTCTTTTTTTCTTCTTTCGTTATCAAATTATAAAATTAGATCAAAAAGGACTTAAGGCATGAGATCGTTCGCATATTCGCTCGTGTCGCTTCTACTTGCGCGTGCACGAAAAGCAAGCTTTTATACAAACGCAAAAGCGGTAGGAGAAGTTCCAGAGCGTATTCAGGCGTCCTAGATTTTATGACGGGAGCCGTGCAGTCGCAATATCGTCGCGTGTACGTCGATTCTCGAAATATCTAGGAAAATTCTACAAAACATTTCCACGAACGACGCCGTTATTCGAATGTTTCCCCGTAGTCCGTGTCGGATATGAGATCCGAACGGGGAGCGACGCGGCGATTGGCGGTTAAGGTATGCCCAATGTTCTTCGTATCTCTTATGTGATTGTGTGCGCGCGCGCGCGCGCGCCCGCTGAATCCAGATCTCAAGAATCCTTCGAGTCTATCGGAAAAATGAATGAAACTCGATAAAGGACTCGCGCGCATCGGCATGAAAAGAATAAGAAGATGAAGAAGGTTTCGCTCTCTCGAAACGTCAAAGATCCTTGAAAAGATGCTGCCACTAAACCGAAATGGGCGAATATAAGCGGCGAGAGAAAAGTGGCGTTATCCGCTTTCCTACCTCCTTCTTCATCTCCTCAACATCCCCTATTTTTATCTACGATAGATCTTTAAGAATACCACGTAAAGAACCAACTTCCTTTCCGTATTTCAAATCGTTCATCTTACCACTTATCGGTCTAACAAAGATATTTGCTCGAACGGAGCAAAAAAGATAGCAAAAAAACCAATATTTATGTAAAATCGACGCTCTCTCTTTCTCTTTCGCTCTCTCTCTCTCTCTCTCTCTCTCTCTCTCTCTCTCTCTTTTCGATATCACGGTACTCGTTCGACGAATCGATTGTCCTACCTTTGCACTCCGTTTTTAGCAACGATATAACCCGTACGAACGTCAGAACGTTTTGTTTAGAATATTGTAAATGTGTAACGATATTTTGGGTGCATGGAAACGGAAAGCAATGAGTCCGTCGAACGCGCCTGAGTAACAATAATGCATTTACCGCATGGAATATATAATTCGATATAAAATGTATGATTATAATTTATAAACGATCGGTGATACGCTTCGAGCAGTGAACTCTCGTAATATCAAATTTCTGTGAAATTATTCGGTAATAAGATAAATATTTTATTCTCGGAGTGTTGGTTTATTAGAGGCGATAGTCGTAAAATACGTCGAAATACGGGTTGCTCGATGAAAAAATACATTTTACCCTCACCTTAGATAAAATCCAATTACGACTAGTCCACTCGTTCTTTTTACTCCCTTTCGCTCTCCTGAATCGTAAGATTGCATCGTATCACGCTGGGTCCGCGTGGTCGCAACATGTAAGGCCGAGTGCACGACCGCGTGCACGCGTATTGATCATTCCTGCTTGAGCAGTGATAAATGATAGGTGAAGCAGGGACGATCACGTGTATGGTAGACCGGGCATGAGGACCACGTGATATTCCACATGTCACTCCGATGAATTATCAAATTTGCATGCCTGACCGACCTAAAAGTCGAGAAAAACGTCGGTCCCTCTCGACCCATTTCGATCCTTTCGCTGGGCCGATTTCATATCGTTCCCAACCAACCGGCTCGCATTTTTTCCCTTGCTGAAATTAATCGGCTTGCGCGAGGTCGAGGTCGTCGAATAGGTACGTCGGGGGTTGCGTCAAGATCGATCTTGTTCTCGGCGTACTCCGTTTTCAATGTTTCCTTTTTCCCTTTTGTCCTCTTTCTACATTTTTCACTTTTTCTTTCTTTACAAAGGTTTTATTCGTCAAAGATCGTTATTCATTGAAAACACCTTTGACCTAGGAAGAAACTGGTCTTACGCGTTAGAAACGACCATCGATATTCCGCGAGAGTACGCCGATTGACCCTAGAACACGATAACGCAGAAAGCGGCTCGTAGTGGTTATGTTTGAAAACCGATTCGACTGTGAAACTTGAACGATCGTAAAAGTCGGAGGGTAAAGCTTTGCGAAAGCGCGAACGACATTTCATGAAGCGAGTTGGGACGAAATACTAAAACGCGGACTACCGTAAATAAGTACTTATGTGTATACATATACAAGAAATATATAGCGGACGAGTCTTTCTATGAATAAAAATATAGCGCATTTATGCGATATACGATTATGCGAGCATAAATCGTGAGTAACGCGCGAGACGTCGTCAAAAAGCTCGAAGAACGATGCACGAACTTGCCGGTTCTTCTTGGACTACGAAGAAACTCAATCGTACGTAAGCTAAACCGCGATACTTTTTCTCAGGAATATAAGGAATATACATATGTATACGTATATAAATACCTATGGGCGACAGCCGTCAGATGTGTCCGGGGCACGGAATGCGTTTGCACGCAAACGCTGAAACGGTGACCCCAATTCAAAGACAATGGAGACTGTGCGAGAGAAGGGAATTCCTTTTTCGAATCAGAAAGCGTGCTTCGCGATATAATACCCGACGGATACATCATCGTTCGAGACAATGAAGAAGAGGAACTGGAAAAGCGACAAGGAGACTAGGTAGCGAGCTTTCTCAGAAATAAAACATTCCAGTAGCGACATTGTAATGGAGGTACGGAAGTTCGAGGCAGCGAAAAAAACGAAAGGAGTAGCGGGACAGAGAGAGAGAGAAAGAGAGAGAGAGAGAGAAACACGGAAACAAGACCGTAATGGGATTTATTAAGTTAAAAGGCAAAAGGTAGAAGGACGTCTTCGAGCAGAGACTAATCTTTTCGATGTTTGTCAGATCGTACAGGTCGCCAGAGTTGCATGAAATTCGAAAGCGTTTCGATATTTAACAAAGATATGCGAACGAATGTAAATTTATGTTAGCCGTCCGAACCATTCGCAGGAAATTTTCGATGATAATCGTATCTTCCACTAGGCAAACTCGTTAACCGAGCGAGATTTACGTGTATGCTAACCGCGAGAATTCGAGTATAGTCGAGGCAAAGGTCTGACTATATTCCGATCATATTCTAGACCCCGTTGGTTCAGTAGAAACGGCTGCTTTTAACCACGCTATACTATATCGCTTTGAATTACACTGTTGAATCTTTATGCGCTTGGAACAACTCGTAAAAGCTCGTAAAAGGAATAAAAAATATTTCGAGCTTTTACCGAGCTCGGCCGACCAAGATAGTTTTACGTAGATTCAAACGGAAATGAGAGACGATTAACGAAATTAATCGTGAGACTACCTTGAAAAGGAACAACTACATAATTTCCGCAAATCTTGCCAATGGTTAATACGTTCTCGTCTTTTGATAGATCGATCGGTAAGATCGTAAAATCGATCCAAAATAGAACCAAGGAAAAATTCTTACGACGTAGAAATTTTTATTATGACCTAGATTTATACGTAGAGTAGTTCGCTCGAGTTAATTACACTTTTGGTAGGACGCAACAGTTTCCAAACGTCAAGTTACCTGTTCGACGTCAACTTCGTTCGCCATAGAAAACTCTCGTATGAGTTTTACATTTGAGTAAGACCATCAATCTCGTAAACTTTTCGCGCTAATCCACACCCGCGTAATTTTTAATCGAGGTGACATCATTGGCAACATCAACATCGGGTACTTTCGAACGAACGGTCGCGAGACTTTCTAAAAGGGCTTCGTAAAATATTCAAAAAAATACAAGTACTTGTTTTTTTTTTTTTTTTTTTTTTTTTTTTTATCGCGATAGAACAAAGTAGAAAGAGCACGGTGAATAATTAGTCAGGCTGTGCTATCTATGTAAATTCAAGCTCGTCTCAAAACCAGTAAAGACCAAGAACGAGGCGTTGCTGTTGTTGATAATGTTAACGGTTGCCCTGTAAACGTTGCTTATCCTTCTTACCGATCGAACTTCTTTTGCAGTTTATATAAGAGAACATCGGGCAATAGACATTTGCATAACAAATTTTAATCATTAGTCTTGGCGTACTCAATGTGTAAGGGCCAACTTACCAAAGTTGCCGAACGTAACATGTTAATTTGAAAAGAAAAGAAACAGAAGAAAAAACCAAAAGAACCTCTTCGTCAGTGGATTAGAAATTTTTCTTTTTTTCTTCGATGATTTAAAATCTTTCGTCGCTTTTGAGTTTTTTTCGGATATCGCCGGAGCGGTGGCTTTCTTTCGAACGAAAGGATTTGAATATTAATCAGCCGAAGAAAGGAAAAAAGCAGGCCAATAGCGATACTTCAATCCCGCAAAGAACTTGTACGAACTCACGTTCTCTCACGAAGAAGTGATTCTTCGAAAGAGCTTTGAAAACTCATCGCTCCGACGATGGCTTATTCTCGACGAATAACGTTCCAATCGAGATCGAAAATTTTATAATCGTTTAATTTCCTATCACGTCCTTGTTTCTAACGAAAAATTCGCACCAAGTTTATCGGACGATGATAAGATGAGCGTACGCATGGATTCGATGAATATTAATTATCAACGAAAATATTTTTAATAGATCCCTGACGAATTCCAATTTGTGTATTTTGATGAAATCTTAAAAGTTGTTTCTTTTAAAAGCATAAAGTTGCATCAAACGCGTGTTCTATAAACACGTAGATAAGTATATTGTTTAGCACGAGAACCTTTCAACGGTTGACATTTCAGAAGCGCAAAAAAATCGCGGACACGACCTTTCGCGTTCACCAAAGCGAGAAATAATCGATTGGCTCTTCCTTCGTTCGTTCATTGTTATTATATACTTTTGACCTCGACCTATTGAAATACCGATCGTTTTTCTTTTTTTTTATTTTCTTTTTTTTTATTTTCTTTTTTTTTTGAAAAAAGCAGAAAGTAAATCTAAATTCGCGAAAGCATTAGGATCATTTATAATTTAACTATTTGAATTTTTATCTCGGTGACTTTGCAGGAGATTTGTTTGTGGTGGTATTTAGTATGGACTGCCGAGAATCTTTCGAGGAGGCGATCAGATTGCGAGAGGCGATCATCGAGACGAAGATGAGCGCAGCCCAAGGAGCGACCAAAAGTAGAAGCAAGAGTCATTATAGTTTGAAAGTTCCCATGGTCATTGTTGGAAATAAATGCGACAAGGATACAAAGTACGTTCTAATCGTGTTAAAGTTCAACACGTATGTATCAGACAAAAATATTTGACTAAAGTCTAAACGATCATTGCCGGTGTTTCTGTTTTAGAAGCGTCACGATCGAGGAAGCCGAGGAATATTGCGCGAGCCAGGACGAGTGTTGCGTTTTCGTCGAAGTTTCCGCTAAACGGAATTATCACGTGGACGAACTTTTCTATCAACTTTTCGTCGTGGCCGGTTTACCATTAGAAATGGCACCGAATCATCATAGAAAAGTTCCTCTTACCTTTGGCTCACCTACCATGCTACCGCCCTCGCAGGTAATAAATAATATTTTTTTCTCTCAACTTTGACAAAATTCTATATTAATCATTTACGATCTATCCGATCGATTGCTTTTTATGTCTACTGTCTGTGAAATTTCATGTACAATTTTATTTAACGTTTATAACTTACGCTAACGATTATGGTTTTTTTCTATTTTTTTTTTTTCTTTTGTTTTCGAAAAATGGAAAGCACAAGGATTAAGAGCACTTTAGAAAGTAAGAAACTTTTGTCCGCAGCCAAAACACAAGGCAACTCTGAGCATAAAGCGTCGATTAAGCGACGCCTGCGGCGTCGTGGCGCCTAACGTGCGACGGCCCAGCATAAGGACGGACCTGATGATCATGCGAACGAAAACGTGCTCGCTCGCGGCTGGAAACGAAAACAACACACCTGGATCGAGGATCATTTTGAGATCGTCCGAAGTCGGCAGAACCTGTTCTATACAGTGATATTCGCGCGAAATTAATCCAAATTACGAATCGAAATTTCGTCGGAAAAAAGGGATAAGAGGAAAGCTTTCAAATAAAGAACGATCGCTTAACGAGAAAGAATATTCGCAAATTATAAATAATAATAAAAAAAGAAAAAAGAAATCAATATAAAACGAAAGGAAAACCGACCACGCTGCTCGCCTTAATTAATTAAAGCACTAGTGTATTTAACGTAGTGTGTCGAAGGTAATACTATGCCTGATTGAAATAATAATGAGCACGCCAAAAAAAAAAGAAAAAGCATGAAGAGAAAAAAGAAAAAAGAAGGAGAGAGAGAGAAAGAGAGAGAGAGAGAGAGAGAAAGGAACAAACGGAATATTTCGTCTCTTTTGATGGGAGAAAGCGAGATAAGCCGAAGAAAAGCATTTGAGAAAGTAAGTACGTTTTCTCACGAGAGAGAGAGAGAGAGAGAGAGAGAGAGAGAGAGAGAGAGAGAGCAGGGGAGAATCGCTTTGTAATTCGAAGAAGTTTAAGAGCGCACTTTGTATTATTTTAATTAAATCATGATCTTCGAATAGAAGTGAAAAAGATGAAAGGCAAAGAAATCGGCAAGTCGAAAATGTTTCTTAATTTTATTTCGGAAGAAGAATAAGGAAAAGTAAATGTATTCGAGAGGAATTTCTTTTTACTATAGACGTCAGCCCGACGTGAACCAATTACCGTATACGTGTAAATAAATAACGATAATGAATATAATAATACATACACGGTGGATTAACATTCGCGATAGAACCGAGAATGGGCTCATGACTATTTCAAGAGAAATCGTCCCCTTCTCAATTGTACTACGATTGCCGAGCCACTCTGTATATTAACACGAAAGTAACACATCATACACGTCACGCACTGCGTCAAATATTTCAAACACGCGCATATACACACACGCGCGCGCGCGCGCACACACACACACACACACGCACACATGCACACACACTCACACACACAAAGAGATACGAGCACGCACACACGCGTATAAAGGATTTTTCCTAGATAGCCACCACCGCGCAAGTATTTTACTCGACGCAAGAAAATTTGCACTCTTTGTTCGTCGCGCAGAAAAAAATGGCCAAAGATATTTCGATTAGAAGGGATTAAATAACAATTAGGAATACATTAGAAATATCCGCTTCGAATAAATACGAATGATAAAATTCGTATTCGATTCGTTTCAATTACGTTGTAATCTCAATCTTGCTCTACTATAAATATACGTTCCCTTTCGTCCCTTTCTATCCGTTCAACGTAAGTATCTTACGTTTCGTTTCATCGTCGTAACGCTCGACTCTCGTACTTTCGCATCTGCATCCGTAATTTTATGGAGATCCACGAGGCATAGAATATGGTTTGTATTATTCTGTGTTAACATATAACAAATCTAATATTAAAAGCAAACGTTTTAATGGTTTCATATAATCGACACATATTTGTGAGAAAAAGAAATAAGATAACTTGGATCATCTGGTAAAATCGGAGATTTTTCTACACATTATAAAAATGATTAAAGATATTAAATGCGTTAACAGTTTCTCTTTTAGCGATAAGAAAAATCCAAAAAGATCCGTATAAACTTGAGATACATATTCTCTCGATTAAAAATATCCAACGTTTTATTATACATAGGAATAAATATGATCGAGAAAAGAAAGAACGATTTACCTTATAGATCCAAGATACTTGTTATCTATTCTGCTTACTGTATACACGTACATATCTTGCATTTATGTGTATGTCGCAAGAAAACTTTTTCGATTCTCAGATTCGATCCGTGTACGAGTTTGAGAAAAGAACAGAAGAAAAAAAGGGAAGACAAGAATAAGATATGATCGATCGCGATCGTCCGCGTGAGTGCTTGCATTTTGTATGAAATAAAAACATTTTCTCCAAGACCATTCAGATCGTTCTTTTCTTCATGAGCGAATTCTGCTTTTTCCTTTCTCCCCCACCCCCAGTTGGATCGGAGACACCGAGCGATGTCCCCAGTTTTCATAATAAATACGGAAACTGGAGACTGCTCGCATACGATGTCTTAATCCAGTTTAATAAACTCGCTTATAACGAACTTGCATTAACTCCGACTTCCGGTAAAGCGATTATATCCCGTTATTCGCGTATCAATTTTCTTTCCATTATCCCTACGGCAATTAATCTCTTCATTCAAATTGTAATCGTTTTGGTACTTACGGTACGAAACGTTATTTTTATTGTTAAATCATGAGAAACTCAAGGAATATATCGCCGATATATTTCTTGTGCGATCGTTTTATTCAGTGACTCAGCGATCTCCATAAGGACAAAATCACCCATAAAAGGAGGGATAGGATGGGGAATGATTATCCAAGAAATTCCATAGACACGAGATGTTTAATTAAACTTTCGCTCTGAACTTTGACTACGAATTTCGGACTGGCCAAAGTCAATGCAATCGGAACTAATGCAAACTCTTCCTTCGTTACCTATCAATTTTCATGGCTGATGTCACTGACTAAAGCACGCTTTAATAATTTATATACCCAAACGTAGACTTTCCTATGATGTCGATGGTTCGTACGTTAATATTTCTAAACTTTCGTATTTAAATTTGATTATTATTAAATTTGATATAGAAACGATGAAAATTAAACGACGTAGAAACAACGATAGAAATAGAAATCTTATCACTCACCGATAAAAGCTGATTTCAAGATCCGATAATCAAAGTGACAATTTGAAGATCGCAACCATTAACCTCGAAGATGCGTCAATGAATCAATGCGTTTTTACAATTGGTGAACGCGCGTCTTTTCTTCGTTCGTTAAAAAGAAAAGGGGGGAAAAAAAAAACAAAGAAACAAAAAAAAAAACTTTCAACGCAACCATCCATTCGTATTTAATAATTATCGCGCAATTGATTCGCGGGTGACTTCTATCATTTTTACTATTTTCGAAATAATTAGAACGAAGGACCGTTAAATGCGCTACTCTCAAATATAAAATTTTTATAACGCCGCCTATCGTGCGATTTTCAAATGAACTTATCGATAATCTTCTTTTAACGACGTACGATAAAGTCTTCGCGATTTAAGTTACGACGATTCTTTCAAAGATGTCGCTTTCATTGATATACTATTGAAATAACTATACTTGCTAAATAACTTTTAATTTGCAATTGGCCGATGACATACGTATTTAATAATTAGAAACATTTATTATTAAACGATATGCATATGCATAAGGGCTCATAAACTGGATATATAATTAATCGGATGAATAATAAATGCAATCTTTAAATTACAATTCATTATTTCCTTTGAGAATTTGAAATTTAAGGTTATATTCTCTATTGAATGTAAAATTATCTAACCTCTGAGGTTTGACCTTTCGAAGCAAATAACAATAACAACTTGCCCGATCATAGTCACATATTTAAGATAATTAATATCGCGCCTAATAGAGGACAATCGTATCTCGCCATCTAGTAGTCGAATTTAGAATAGAGCAAAGGCGCAAGCGTGACACGTTTACATCCTACTGATAATAATTATATCTCGAGAGAATAATTATACGTGGGAAAAACGATACTAGAATTTAATCTGTCGACGTTAATTTATAATTTTTTTTAAACATCAGAAAATATATGTAAGTACAAAGTCAGCAACGCATCGACCGAAAATCTGGACATTGATAAAATTAATTCCAAAATAATTTATACGTATAAGCATGAAAAAAAGAATTGTCTCTAAATGCGTACATTGGTATTCGTTCTGACTTAACTTTTTTTTTCAAGTGTTGGAAAAAAAAAAAATATATATATATATATATATATAAAGAGAAGTACTCAAACGACGTTAAGGGGCTCCCCTCATTATCCACCCACCCGTATTCGACTAGAGCCGACACTGGTGCCGAAGCCCAACAGATTTGTAGAATGACGAAGGCCGTCGTCGAGCGCATACGCTTTTCTAACGAGTGGATTTTCTCTTACATAAGACGTCTAGCCTCTTTACATACTAATTTAATCGAGATATTTTATTTTCCAAAATACATCAATTCTATTTATTTTCGGAAAAAAGTGAATGGTACAACGATTAGAAGTTGGTCAATTGTCAACCCGTCGAAGTCAGGTCTCTGTCGCTTATCGACGTAACTCGACCAATCGTTTACGCGCGAACGCGCTCTCCTCGTTGAGAAAATCGATCGATATTGCGGCAAACGGCAAAGTAGGGAGGAATCATGAGAATTCATTATTCTTTCCGTCTTTGCTAGAGCTCCGAGAAAAGAAGTCCGACGCATCGTTCATTTTTCGAATGTCTTCCCACATTGACTGACGCACCACCATCGAATTGCCGCGCTTTCATTTCTATCTTTTTGAACTATATATTTCAAAATGGGCGGCAACAATACTGGAAGGAGCATCTTCACTTACGATACTTTGGTACACGCGTTGTCAGGTGCGGCTGTAAGTACTCGATAAATATTTATTTAACGAAAGCGAATCAATGATTTGCATGATTTATTTCTTTCTCTATACCAATTTTTTCTATTTCCTTTGTAGGGTAGCGTTATCGCTATGGCAACCTTCTTCCCGCTGGACACCGTACGAAGCCGATTGCAACGTAAGATTTTAATTATCTACAAATAAATTCTCACGTTTCAATCTTCATAATGATTATTAACCTTTTTATATCGTCAGAGATTATATCGTGGATCATTATAAACAAAAACACACATACAAATTAATTACAGATATTTTCAAAATCACCGACGTTCCTCATTCTCGACAAATTAACTATTCTTCATTTTTCATGGTGCCTCTTGTAACTCGACTTATAAAGATAAATTTGATCTTTCATCCACTAAAAATCAGCATAATTGATGATAAAAAAGGCATAATTTATATATACATAATTGCATCAGCTCGATCTTCGGACTTCCATTAATTACGAAAGAATATTTACATATTTTTATACAGGCAATTAATTTATTAAAAGATAATTCTCATAGGAATTAATTAAAAAGGATTACATATATTGTAATATTAGATATAAAAGGATCAAATATATTGTTTTAAGAAACTTAAAAAATCTGATTTAACTCTTGCATTATTTTGCATTATCGCTAAAGTACATACGTAATATAAAGATATGCAATATGAAATGCTAAACACTCAACTTTTTATCTTTTTATGTGTACAGTGGAGGAAAATAGAGAAGCAAAGAATACACTAGCGATGATACGTGAGCTAACTTCGAAGGAAGGATCGTAAGTTGCCGTAACTAATTATCAAATGTATTAACATTTTACATACGTCAGAAACGTTCTTGTAATTTTATATCTCTACGAAAATTCTCAAAAAGTCTCAAAGTCATTTATTTAAAATTAATTCATTGTTAACTTTAATACTTATCGCTCAGGCATACTTTGTACCGAGGAATGGTACCCGTTCTTCAAAGCCTTTGTGCCAGTAATTTTGTTTATTTCTACACGTTCCACGGTTTGAAGATGTTGAGAAGTAGAAGAAATCAAACAGCCAGGAATGATCTTTTGGTAGCATCAATCGCAGGCACGATCATGAATTTTTTTCTTCTACACAATTTTTACGACGTTAATTTTCTTTGTAACGCATCCAACCATTCTCTCTCTCTCTCTCTCTCTCTCTCTTTCTCTCGCAGGTGTGATCAACGTGCTGACAACGACACCCCTTTGGGTAGTTAACACAAGATTGAAAATGAAAGGGATCGGTAGTGTCGCTGAAAAAAACAATAACGATTATAATACATTGTACGGTAAGTAGAACCGTAAAATCCTTATCATATATCGTAAAAATGATAATGCATTTTCTAAATGTAATAATAGATTCGTAGAACGAATTCATTTGCGTATGTGTTATATAAAACGTTAGTTTAGTCAAACAAAAATCTGACTGAACAAACTGACTTTCGTTTCATTTATTTCAGATGGTCTTTTGCATATATGGAAGTATGAAGGATTAGAAAAATTATGGGCAGGTACGTTTCCCAGTCTGCTTCTCGTTGCAAATCCAGCTATTCAATTCATGACATACGAGAGTATAAAGAGGAAAATCGATACGTCCTCTTCTGACATTCAACCACCAGCTTGGATCTTTTTCACTATTGGTGCGATCGCGAAAATGGTCGCTACGACGTTAACTTATCCTTTACAATTAATACAAACGAAACTGAGGGTGATTAGCATAACGTTATACGAAATAAATTAAATTATCATTATCTGATATAATGTAAACGTTTATATGTGCCATTGTTTATAGCACGGACACAAGTATCCTGACTTGCCACCGAATGCTGGAACTATCCAAATTCTTTTTTATATTTTAAAGTAAGTCCTATATGACATTTTCTTCTTTTATCCAATCAAATTAAATATCGTACACGATCTTGTATTTTCTTTTTTTCATTTTTTTTCTTTTTCTAGAAAACAAGGCATACTTGGATTGTACAAGGGGATGGAAGCAAAACTTTTGCAGACCGTCTTAACTGCCGCATTGATGTTTCTAACTTACGAGAAAATATCAAGATTTGTATTTCGTATTCTCCTTCATAGACCTGGTGTCAGATAACGATACGATTATGTGTTTAGAGGATGTATTTAAGCATAAATCGGTTATCAGAATTTAAATAAATATATATATTAATGCGACTTTTCTTCTTCTTCTTCTTCTTCTTCTTCTTCTTCTTCTTTCCATGTTACGTAATTATTTACGTATTTATTTTTTTGTAATGTTACTTTTTTAATATTAATGTATTTTTTCAGAAGTATATTAAACAGTATGCGCATACATTCATGAATGAAGAGTGTAATCGCATTGACCATGAAGTTATGAATAAACCATCTTTGTTTTTCAAGGTGACAATACAAAAAGGAGAAAAGTCCAAGCACGATTTCGCGGAGATTTGGAACATGTGAACGCTTAACATATCAAAGAAAAATACTGGCGAACTTAAGAAAAACGCCTTTTAACATTCAACCAAATATCGAATATAAATTTAACTATTTAATATCGCCTCTTTTTCCAACGCATAAAAGTCTTTCAAAATGGCTAAGTGAGGAAGCAGATTTTACAAAATCTTTAGATAAAAGAGACGGTGCACTCACAAAGATCCATCGTAAAAGGTTTAAAAGTGTATTCAAATTTTGGAGTAAATTAAAAATACGGAAAGACTCGAAAAAGCGACTGAACAAAAATTCTGTAACCTCCAGGTATATAGGAATACTGTCATCCATCAATCGATATTCTCTAATAATAATGTTATCTTAACTTTTGCTTTTTTATTATCTCTCATATTTTACAGTTGGAGTCTTCGTCATGCCGGGGAAACGATGAATGCACAAGTTCGAAATGAAATTCCAAAAACAAAGAAATCTATCTCGTCTCGGCAAAACAGTGCTAGAACTAAACAGAATACTAACGTCAAACCAGTCATCGCATACGACTATGATGCGGCTATTAGTCAACCTGACGTACCAAATGTTTTGGGACAAAAATTTAATACCGGCTTATCCATACGAAAGAAAGCTTTTAATACTCGCGGGAAAAATAAATTGTCGATTACAAAAAATACGGAAACCGTGTCAAAAACAACTTCTATTTCGAAATGTCAAAACAAGGAAGATGAAGTCGACGTTACTGCTACTGAAGAGGGAACTGCAGAAAATGAAACTACTTCTACCGAGGGCGAATCGACACCAATCTTTTTTAAGGTTTAGCAAGTTTATTTCCCCAAGTTTTGATCGCCTAATTTTCATAGAAACCGTATCCTTCCTGTATGTAGAAAAACTTTGATACGCAAGAGAATTCACAGAGAGGCAGCTCTGAAGATAAAAGCAAAAGCGAAAATGAAAAGAATCTCGACAGTATAACTCCTAGGTCGATAATCTCGCAAAAGAAAGATAGTAGAATTCCACGAGCAAAAGGGAACAAATCACCAGTTGTTGTACAAATATCTCGTAATGATTCGATCAAGCGATTATCTTTGACAAGCTCAAAAAAATCATTTGACACGATTTCACGTAAGAAAGATATGAAGGAAGTCTTAAAGACAAACGCTTATCCAAAGTATGTCTTTCAAAGTAATCGCGTTAATTCAAACGTTCATTTATCTTTATATATATATATATATTTTATAGATACGTTTCAAGCAAACAACAAAAATCGTGTACATTTTTAAACGATAAGCATGAGCCAAATGACGAAACAATCATTACAGAAACATCCCCTGCTATCATTGGCAGTGCTAGTGATCCATCAACTTTCACGGTATTACATAAATTAAAACAAAGCCACAATTATCGATCTTGCGACAATTGTAATCCAGACTCAAGCTGTCGAGATATTGACGAAACGCTGAGCGATTCAAGGAGTTCACCGGAAAGGCGATACATTACGAAAAAATGGAGGAGGTAAGAATAACTTTTAATTTAATGTTCAGCGAATATTCGCTTTTGATGCGGTTAATTATTATTTCTTTTTTCTCTTTTTTTTTCCTTTTTTTTTTTTTTTTTTTTTTTTATTATCTAATGTAATACAGATCTTTGAAACATCGCAAATATATAGATACAAGCTCCGACGATTTCGATGTATCGTCAGATTATAGTTCTCAAAGCAATGAGAAGAAAATAAAAAGTCATAAAGACTTTCACAGTTCAGTGGCGCCATTAACAAAAGCCTCTTTGACCACTAAACCATCGTCAAGAACTAAAAATCGTCATGGAAGTACATTTTCTTTTTTTAACACTCTTTTCGATATTGTTTTTTGGCCCTTTCTTTTTCTCAAGTCTGATCGATAATTTTGACGAGTTATAGATACATACGATTAATTCGTAACAATAAAAAGTCCAAGTTCATAAAAATTAAATAAGCAGAAAAATTTTGTAATCAATATCTTTCGTGATCTTACCAATTGAACAATTTTCAATGACGTAAATACGTATGTATATCGTAAAATATTTTATAGATTTCTTATTCTGTATAGCATTTGTTTATTATATATTTAATAACGTCTTATTATTTTCATTATTTCTCTATTAATTTTAGATAAAGAATCATAAAGAAACTTTTCAGTATATAAGATTTGTATATACACGAAAGAATAAAACATCAATGTATAAATAATACATTAATTTTGTATGGATATTACATTAGAAAATAATTTTATGAAAATGATAATGTGCTTTCATTCACAGAATAAGTAAAATGCGATTGACCCTGTTAGTGTCTCTATAGGTTCATGGCACGCCAATTTCTGAAAAATACAAAATATAATTAATAAATTTACAATTGATATAAAAAAAAAAAAGTTGTATGCGTGTGCGATGAGTATGATTTACCTTTGTCCATGGGTGCTTTTCCATTAGAGAAAAACTTCTTTGAGAAACGCGTGGATGTTAAGCTCTCATGAAGTTGTTCGATTTCATAGACGGTATTCCCTAATATTTTGGAAAAAACTTTCTCATTTTTTACCAAAGCTTTGTCAGCGACTACGGACAAATGCAAGTGTTCGTTATAGCTGAAGAGAGAAAATCCGATACCCGTGTTACTTCTGAAAATACATATAGAAATGAATTACAATCGATTCGTAAGATCGTAGAGTTTAATGAAAAATAATAAATTTTACTTGTTCGGTATCCAGAAAAGAATATTTTTCACGGGATAGCCCACAATGTGTACTTCCTGACATCCAGATAAATTGCTAAAAATCATCGTACTATGACTCTCCAAGAGCGGTCTCAATAATATCTCTGGTAATACGGCAGAGAGAAACTTCATTACCCAAAAATTAATCAAATAATCGAGATCTTCTTGAAGCTTATTATTAAGTTTCATAATTTCTTGAAGACGTTCGATCGTCCTTGAGTTTTCATCTAAATTCGAATATACTTTGCCATTTATCTCAGAAATACACAAAGGAAGTAATCCAACCGAGATATCGTTGGACAAATGAACCTGTTCTTTCGGATTTTCCATTTTAACTGGGAGTACGACGGTCAGTGAATTCGGTGGTACTTCATTGATCTGCGTGTGCGTTGGAAATATAAAATATTAAATCGGAGCTTCAAAATTCGAACGTGATCGATACGTACGCGTAGAAAATACTTATGTAAACTCGAAGACAAGGCTGCCAACAAGACTTCAACAAATCTTGCTCCAGTAATACTCTTTATTTCTTTGATTTTCGTTAAAACTTTTTGCTGGCTTGGATTTCTATAATCATTTTCTGACCAATAAGTAACGATTTTTTGTCCAGTTAACTTTGATCCATGAAGAGAACTGAAAAGATAAGAACAATGTAAAATGTTGGACGCACTTATTCCGATATATTATAAAAGAAAAATTTCGAGGAACAATAACGAACTTCTTATCCATACTGCGAATGGCCTGATCCATTAAATACGAGGGCATTAGAATAAGGACAACTAGATTTTTCACAAAGATCTTAAGTTTTTCATAAACCTCTTTCATTAGAAACTCCTTAAAAATTATCCACCATTCATAGAGAAATATCTGCATTTCATTTTTAAATTCGTCGAAGGTAACATGCTCGAAATAATTAATCTTTCCGTTTAAATAATTCCGTACGACCGTCTTTAAGATTCGTAGAGATTGTAGATCGGCAAAGGGCATACAAGCGGAAAGTACGTCGTTCGAATAACAAGGCTGCTCGCAAACATTGAAATTTTTCGCACAGTGAGTAAATATAGGGAGATCCAACGAAGTTCTTTCACAATTCTTCCTTTGACGTCCTAACGAGCACTTTTCTTCTGGTATAGTCGAGACTTCATTAGGTTTATCAGCAATAGTTTCCAAGAAGAGCTTCAACAAGGCAGATCCGTCGCCGAGAGCATGATGAATACGAAATAATACTGGGATCTTGATCTTGTTTCTTCTTCCACGATCCAGAATAGAGCGGCCTTCTTCCATACGTCGAACGTGCTGATGACTGACGCATGAACAATTCTTTGAAATTAATATCTCCCAGGACGTCGAGTGATTTTGAGGAAGCGGTTGATTACACTTCCTTTCCAATATTCTTTTCAACGATTCGCTGTAAATGTCATCGCAGTATCCATCGCAATGCGTTTGATCGTGCTCGAGCCATCTTATTCTTTCCTTCAAATCGATCTCCTTTGCTCTTTCCCAAAAGTAGTATCCATACTTTTTCTTTTTACAATGAAGTATCTTCTCGAAATTTGAACCGATTAATCGTTCTTTAATTAGATTTCTAAAGCTTTCTAGAATGTTCGCGTTTATTTCATGTTGATCCTTTTCCAAAACAACAAGGACATTTATGACAGAAAGGGCCGAAGGCTCTTCTATAGCCCAAACGCAATCGGTGCCTTCCAAGAGACCAACGAATTTGTCTTTCAATTGATGCTTCAATAACGCTTCGACGATACGACGATAAATATAAAGAGAAATTAATATTATTATCAATGCGGGAGTTAAGAGACAAAATAAACCGTAATTAAATAGCATAAAATGCATTGTCGATGTTGAAACTTGATGTCAATGATGATAAATTGTCATCGTCGAAAGTCAATACAAACACAAGATCCTTCTTGGCCTTACTTTTATCTATTCTGAAAATAATAATCTTTTATCTAAAACGAATCATATTTTTATCATATTACAGCCGAGTATCTATTCAAGATAACAATATTTTTCTTATTGTTCACTTACGAGAAATATGAAAAAGAGCGATTAGACGATAGTCCAGTGCCGTAGCGCACTAAATGGACTTTCTATCTTCGGATTCACTGTTCATATAGCGAAGCACCAGTATTTACTTAATGCCAATCCAATTTTCAAGAAACCTTATGTATAACATTATTATTTGCTGATATAATGAATTATACACAAGCATATATATATATATATATATATATACCTAACAAGTATCGTATATAAGGAAAAGTTTAAGCTAAACTACTTTCTATAATAAGAATAAATTAAAATTGTAATATGTAAAGAATGATTTATTAATGATTTATTAATACGCATATAAAAGCAGAGGAATTACATTTTGAATGAATCCTTCTGTAAAGATATGACGCTACTACTTCTACTGCTTTTGCATGCACGTCTTGCCTCTTGCAAATGCGCTCTTAAAAGTGCATTCTCGTATACCAAGCGATCGCTTCGTCGTATCTCCATGGCCAATTGAGCATCTTTGCCTAAAGAAAGGCGTATCTCGGGCTTGCTGGAGACATTTAAGTTACGTGCCTTTTGCAGCGCATCCTTCGAAATAATAATCAATCCTTAAACGCTACGATCAAACGCAAAGTGATCGTACAAAATTTATTTTACCTACCTGTAAGGTCTCGATCGAACCTCTTAATAAAATTTCTTCCACGTCTTTACGTTTCTTGAGATTCAAATACTTGATACAAACTCTCTTTATCGCTTCTTCGCGTTCTATTAAATTTTCAGCCATATTCAATAACCTTCGTTCAAGTATATCTATCTATCTACGAACAAACAAACGAATGACAACATCGGTAAGCGATGTAAATATTCTTCTATGAGAGGTAATAATTATTTCGATGTATTCTAGACCTGTTTATTTCTCTCTTCGACGTGCGCATTCACTGTATTGATTTCTTTCTTTAGTCGTTCGTTTTGCTTCAACAGATCATCGTACCTATCAAAAAGCATTCAAATAAATATCTTAATAAGCGATCTATCATATCTTGTAACATTACTTTCTGTGCCAAATCCGTTGTACTTCTCTTTTCAAGGGTTCCGGTAAGGTATCCGTATTTCCAATACGTACATCCGTTACACTTTGTCTGAATAAATCTGAACAAAAAAATGACAATTATTTCGATTGTAAAGAGAAAAATTCTTTTCTTGTTATTATTACACGACATACAACTAACTCAACATATTTTTATTCAGTTTATTAGCTTTCCTGAGATCATCGATCATAGCAACTTTTTGCGCTTTTAAAGCGGAATATCGTAGCCATTGTTCCGATTCCAAAATACGGGAAAATGTTAAACTCGCTTCTAATTGATCTACGGTCTCAAATAAACTTCGAATCTTTGTTCTGCTAAATTCTTTATCAAATACTTCTAAAATGAAATATTTTTATAAATATTATCAATTATATCGTTAATATGTTTATATCTAACTCGCTTTTTTCTTCGATAGATCACTATGAAACGTCGTAATATCATTATTCTCTCTTCTATAATTTTCTATTGCTACGGTGGTTGTATGAATATTCGTAATAATCTTTTTCGGGAAAGTATCGGCGAATTCTTTTGACTTTTCCCTGACCTTTTTCTCTGTTTTAGTTTTGCTATTAAAGATAAAAATGTATCAATACATTCGACTTTCCTAGAATTTAAGTTCGTGCGTCATTATACCTTAATACGTTAGTAGAATGTTGAATAATCCCTCCCATATTTAACCTTTTTCAAATTATCAGACTGTCAATAATAAATAAATGGACGTACTAATCGACGTACAAGAAACAAAATAATCAATATGAATATTACGCTTATTTCAAATCTGTATGCGTGAGTGTGTCCGCGTATATATAGTTTTATCCATTCAAAGTGTGTGACATTTAAAGAACACAAGGATTTTCTGAAATAACGATAATGCCATTTCATTGTAGAAAATCTTTTTTCTTTTTTTTTTTTTTTTTTTTCCTTCTCGTGCTATACAATAAATCTGTTATTATAAGTCTAATCACACGATAATAAATCTTAAAATATCATTTGAAAACATACAAGTACGATATAATAACGCGTTATATTAAAATACATTAAACCATCGAGCCCTACATTAAAGTGTTAATACTTTTTATTTAGTTATAGGGCACGGTTCCGAGGCATATCGTTTAAAACTTCCGTGTACACGCCTTAAATGATCTTTTAAACGTTCCCTTGTATCTTCCAACACAGCGAGCATCGTTATTCTGGAGTCACTGTTTAAAGCTTCATTGAAGCGTTCCAAATGAGCCAAATCTATCTGTGGAACACCATCCAAATCTTCAAGGAGTTCTTTCATTCTCGTAACGTCATTCGTTAAACTTTCTATGTTGAAATCTTTCGATAACGTACTGTAAACATAGAATATGTTGCAATGAGATACATAAAATTTACAATAAAAATCCTATATACATACTTTTGTTCTTTCACGATAAATTCTGAACATGTTTCATATAAATCTAAACATTCGAGATTATCTCTGAGATTTCGTTGTTCCAAATATCTTCGAAAAATTTCTCTACCGCGCGGATGCGTTAGAGTTTTCGTAATATTATCTGTTATCTGATCCAACTCTTCGCGTTTCAGACCAGAAATACATTTTCCAATGCATCCTATCGTTCTTCTTGATATAGGAGCCTGCATGCTTCATAACGGTTACTCAAGACTGGAAAGTAACGTCAATGTTAAAGAAATTGTTTAAATAAATGTTCAAATTGTAAACTTTGTTCGCGCGCGCGCGCGATTCGTGTCATTTGTATACTTTAACACGGTCAAGATGTAACACCTAACAAAAAAAATGCAGTATTAAATATAATTGATTAAACATTAATTCATTTGTTGTAACTATAGCGCGCCTCTTTTTTTATTCCGCGCGTCTCCCTTTATATATATATATATATATAGATACGTATTGATCACGCTTTTGCGAAACTTGAAACGCAATTCGCATGCTCAAAAGAAAATAGTCATAATCAATGAACGTTTTATGAGAACTATTACGTCAGAGAAACAATGAAGTTCCAAATTATAACTACGTTGTACGTTTGAAATTCTTTAATCCAAAATATTCTAATCGTTCGATAGGTCAACACCAACGAACCATCAATGACGATAGCAACTCAAACTTATAAATAGAATTCGTTTTTATTTTAATTTGTAATAAGAAAATTTGGAATATCATTTCGCGTTCCATAACTCGAGCAAACCTTAGTGTAAGAGACGTTATCGATCGTAAATTTTGCCGGCCGGATTTCCGCTGACTGCTTACCTTAATCACAGGATGACCCCTTTTCTGAATATAAAAAGACAGCAAAACGTAAGACGTTCATCGTTCTTCAAAAGAACGTCAAAGAATATATTGTTAGGAATACATTGTATTAACATACACAATTTTTGTTTTTAATTACGTTAAAATCACGTGATTCAAGTTGAAACGTAACAATATATCACGAAACGCACTATATCGCTTCACGGCGAAAACTGAACTTTCCTTAACTCTTCTTTGCGTTTCTTTCCTAATAAGTGCCCTCTAGCTTTTCACACGACATCTTTCTACATATAAGCTAAAAATATCTCCCGAAGATTTGGAAACTCTTTCTACGAAAACAACAAAGCTAGTAATTCTTATCGTTTTCTGTCGTTCTGTTTTTCTTTCTTTTTTTTTTTTTCTATTTTTATCAAACAATTTTAACAAAGAACTAAGAGAAGAAATATAGAAGATACTAATGGAAGAAGAAGAAAATTTACTTCGTATAGAAAATAATGAAAATAAATTTCCCTTCTTAGGTTATCGAGGTGTAAAATAGTCTTATTACATTATATAAATTTGTTGAATTGAACGAATAACGTTGAAACATAACCTCTGTAAATGGGAATGAATGCTAATACGAAATAAAATCATTCAGATTTTCGGGATCGGTCATAATCTTTTTATATTCGTCGCAAACCTAAGTGTTTTCATTTTTCTAAAAATATAAAATATCAAAATGTCGTCGATATATGCAAAAATGAGAAAACACCGACTTGTTACATATATAAAATACAATGAATCCGTCAAGGACTGTCGTTTAATATTCAAAAGATCGTTTGCAATACATTCCGTGTTGCCGCACGACACGCTTAACATACGTAATTTATAATTTACTAGTTTGTTACAATTTCTTGGGAAACAACATAACATATTACTAACACGGCATATTTAATTAAGTAAAAATAAATTAATAATTTTACCAAAGATATTTCCTTATTCTTTCCTTATTTTTAAAATTAATCTATAAATGAATATGAATATCCTACGAAAGTCGAATCACCGAGTGTTATTACTTAAATTTGATTGGTTCTTATTCTAATGCCTAGCCAATCAACATTATTACTACATTTCCTGTATACCAATAGGATCAAATAAAGTCATGTACCTTATAGTAAAAGAAGCCGCGAAAATGTTTCTATATGAATAGTAACCTAATTAACAATGTAGATACATTTAATATTTTAAGATAATTAACTCTCCGGTGTTTACATTTATTTCTGTACATTACGAAAAATGGATAATGAATTTCCAGATTCAGATGAAGAATATGATTTAATACGTAAAGATGACTTCGAAGTTTTACAAGAAATCCAAGGTATAAGCTTCATAACCTCTTTATTTGTAATTAACATTTTCGTATAAACATTTATTGTTTTAGCTCAATTAAATAACAAGAAAAATCTTAAAAATAATGAGGAACAAACGTTACAACAAACCGAAAAACAGAAACTGTTTGAAAATGATTTCAATTCGCCAAGCACTTCTCTCCAGGCAAACAAATCTTATAATCATTCCATAGCTAATTCCAGAAAAAGGAATTATGATGAGCTATTTGGTGATATATCAGATTTATTGGAAAAAGATACTTTCTGTATGTATAAATGTATATAGGATTCTTTTTACAAAATATTAAAGTTTCATTTTGATATATTTATTTTATAGCCGAGTACTTGGAGCCAAAAGAAAAAAGACCTTGTTGGTATGAAACAGATGCTATTATTAAAACAGTTGTTAACACAAGAAAAAAATTGCAAGAAGAAGACGGTCATGTGTCTTATAAAGCTAAATGTTATCAGGAGTAAGATCATTTATAATTTATAACTTAAAAAAAAAAAAATTCAATTGATAACTTCAATAATTTAATGAATATATTTTTACTAATAGCAAGGAAAATGGTAACATTTCTTTACGCGTACCACCTTGGAATTTTATAGCATTAACTAGATCCTTTGATTCTCAACGTTTATATATTAGAATCAAGAATGAAGAAAATATAACTGTAGAATCAATGAAACCTGTTCGTAATCTATTATCAATACCATATGATCAACTTAAAGCAGAAGCAGAAGAAATTGTAAGTACATTGAGATTAAGATTTACTTACATTATCTCAAGCACTGAGACATACAATTAATTAATGCAATTAATTTGTACTATAATAGATTGTCAATAATGCAAAACGTGCAAGTTTAGCAGCCACTACGTCTTCCGATTGCAATAAAACATCTGGCACTGAATTATGGGTTGATAAATATAAACCTAAAAAATACATAGAACTTCTTTCGGATGAAAATGTTAATAGACAGTTTTTGTATTGGTTAAAGTTATGGGATAAAATAGTATTTAATAAAGAAATATCTTTTCGAAAAAAGAAGATTAATGTATCTACAACAATGTCAGAAAAATTTGAAGATAGTAATAAAAATGATATGGATAGTAAAGGTTATCCTATTCATAAGATAGTATTACTTACAGGACCTCCTGGATTAGGAAAAACAACTTTAGCGCATTTAGCAGCAAAACATGCAGGTTATAATATTATTGAAGTTAATGCAAGCGATGAAAGAGGACCTGATGCTTTTAGGTGATATTATATAGATAAATTATATAGCTATATATAATATTAATATTTATGAATATATTTTTACAGACAAATACTTCGTGCTTCAACGCAAATGAAAGCAGTAATAGGTAAAGATCCACGTCCAAATTGTTTAATTCTTGATGAAATAGATGGTGCACCAATAGCTTCGATCGAAGAACTTTTAAAATTTGTACAAGGGAAATCTTCTTTCAGAGATAAAAGAAATAAACTGAAAACTGAGAAAGAAGGAGAAAGTTGTCAACGGCCTATAATTTGTATTTGCAACGAACTATATACTCCATCTTTAAGGTCTGTATTTTAATGATATGCAATACAATTTAAAGAATTACCAAAGAAATTAATTATATATTCTAGACCACTCAGAAATTTTGCTCTTGTAATAGCCGTACCACCAGTAAGTACTACAAGATTAGTACAGCGACTAATGGAAATTGCACAAAAAGAAAAATTAAAAATACACCAAAATGATCTTCTAAAATTAGTAGAAAATTGTGACTGTGATATTAGATCTTGTCTTGGTACATTACAATATATGGGAAATCTTGATATAAAGCATAATGTGTCTTTAGGATTAAAAAATACTCGCAAGGGATTATTCGATACATGGAAAGAAATTCTTAAAATTCCTATCAGTAAAACGGGTATTCTATCTATCCGCGACAGAGTGCATAATATATTAAAAATAATACAGAATGGTAATTTGATTATTTTTTCAGTTTTAGCATTAACTACTTGTTTTTTTCTCATTTACTTTATTTGCTCTAACATAATATTATTGCATTAATATAGTTTTTCTTTTTTTTTTTTTTTCATATAGGAGATAATGAAAAGTTAGTTAATGGCATATTTCATAATTATCCTACAAATTGTACTGAGAAAATTCTAAATATATCTGAAGCAGCTGAGTGGTTTCAATTTTATGATGAAATTTCAACCTTTGTATTACATAATCAATCTTGGTCAATTATGCCATATATAAATTATGCATTTCTTACATGGCATTTGAATTTATCTACTATGCAAGTTCCGAAATTATTTTACCCTGTTATTGTATTTGAAGTAAATATTTTTTTGCTAATCAATAAATTTTAACAAGTATAAATGAATAATGCGCAAACAAGTACAAATATATTCTATATTTATAGACAAATCAAAAAATCGCAAAAAGCACAAGTATCTTGACAACAGTGAAACGTAATCGTGGAATTGATAATATAACATTGATTATGGATATTACTCCTGTTCTACCTGATCTCTTAAATCCACAAATTCGTACTGTTTCTGGTCATTTATATTCTTCTGCAGAAAAAGCTCATCTCTCACGTGTTGTTAACATTATGATAGATTTTGGACTTACTCTAGTACAAGAGAAAAATACTGAGGGAAGATATGAATACCAATTGAATCCGTAAGTGAAACTTTAAGAAATTGTATATTTGATAACTGATAGTAATCTTTTACATATTATTTATTCATATTGTCAAATATCTAGCAATTAATTCGTTTCATAATTAACTATAGCAATATTGATGAAATTGGATGCTTTCAAGATTGTAAACACCGTATAAAAATTTCTTATGCGGTATTACAAATTATTTCTCAAGAGTTACAAATTGAATATGTTAAAAGATCTGCAAAAGTCACAGGAATTATACAAAATGATACACAGGAAGAAGTACAGAACAAAATCAAAGAAACTGCCTCCATAAGTGCAAATCTAGTACAATCAAACAAATCTATGATAGCAAATACTGATGCATCTATTATATCAAATTGTTCAAAACAGGTTGATAAAACTTCGATGCAAATCTCAGTGAGTTTTTTAAAAATCTCTAAAAATATTCTGTAATAATATTAAATTTATATGTGTATATATTATATATATATACATATAAATATATATATACATACATATATATATATGTGTATATATATATATATATATATATATATATATATATATTTATATATTTTCTTTATACTTATCCTCATGTAGAAATATAAAAATTACTTTGGTGAAATAGTACCTGATAATAGCAATATCAAAACAAATGTAAAATTATCTCCAAAATCAGACGAAATAAGACAAATCCGAGACATTGTGAAGAAATACGGCGTCTGGTATAAATATAAAGAAGGTTTAACTACAGCAGTACGACGGCAAGTTTTAATGAAAGATCTATTGTAACTCTTGTCATTAATACTTAATATATACTTTATATATATATGCACATAATATGATAAACATTACTTTAAGATAATTGTAACTAACATAAAATATATTTTTTATAACTTTTATGTATTTTTATATTTAAACATAGTTTTGAACATAGCGTTTGCATATCATCCGCAATACTATCACTAGATCTATTTGTCTAATCGAAAAGTTTCATGTTTTCCCATACAAAACTTTAAATCTATATATATTAAACTCGATGTTAAATCGATTTTAAATTGATAGTATTGCGATATACATTTTAAATTTCAACGTATGACAAAGGGAAAACTTGACAAACACATACCATTGTGTTTCCAGCTCCATTGTGTGTACCTTTATTGAGTATTAGCTTCAGTGATCCCAACAACTTCAGTGATCCAAATTTATTTTATATATTTCATAGCTATGACTTTAATATAAAACATCATTTTGTAAGAACAAAATTTTGAATTGAACTGAAAAAGGAAAATATGAAAACATTATTATTCAACTTTAATAGTAAAAATACATAAAATATAATGTATTAGAAATGTAAAATGTAAGTACTTTAATGTCTAGTTAGATAAGAAAAGAAAACATTTTAGAAACGTATAAAAAATGCAGCCATTTGCTCAGTCTTACTTGCGGTATAACATATATTTGCTTATAATTTAGATTTTTATATATCGCAAGTACTACTGACCCAGGTCTCACTACGTGGAAGTTGCTGCATGTGGAGACCCACGGACTGACGGTGACTCTACTCTAAAATTCGCGTTCCGCGATACCGATCCGCTATACCTTTCCGCTTCAATGCACTGGCTTCTTAACTAACAGGGTATGCGTAGCTTTGCTACTACACACCTCTTACAGATAGCTCCACCATTTGCACCGTCCGCTTCAGACATAACGGATTATTAAGCACATTCGAATTCGTGCTTTCCGAATTTCGAACAAACAAAGCGCACTCCTTAGAAATACTAATCGCGTCGCGACACTCACGTGTGTGTTATAATTACGTAGATTCTACTGTTAAGCCGAAATTCGCGTAGTACCCCCATCGAAATTTTGAAGAAATCAAACGAAGTCCACGGTAGGACCTTTAATCGCGCCCGAACACCCACGCGAGTGTTAGAAAAACGGTGATTCTACTCTACAATTCGCGTTTTCGATTCGAACAATCAAACGTAATATAATCGCGCCCGAGAACACCCACGCCTGTGCCCGCCGACACGCGCGCCAGTGTTCTTCCTATCCTTCCCGTATACGCGCGTAGAAATCGATGAGGAATCCTGCCATGAGATGTACCATCCGGTCGCAGATGAACTTATCCCTCGATGATCTATGCTGGAAAAGAAGAAGATAAGCAGAAAATAAGAAAAAGAGAAAAAAATACAAATATAGAAAATAAAGATAATTAAAAACGTAATTATAAACATAAACACATAATTAAACACATAATTAAATACATAATTAGAAAGAAACAACATAAATAAATATTAAGAAAACGTAATTAAAAGGACAACACAATAATAACGTAATTGAAAACATAATTTAAAAAGAAAAATATGAGATAGAAACGAGAGCCGGAGAAAGAAAAGAGAACCCCAGAAAGAGAAAAATAGAGAGCCCCAAAAAGATAAGACAAGAGAAAAAGTTCTCTATGATGCTGAGACAGCAACCCGCACAGAAGCCCTCCCCCACAGGCCCCTCCCATGGGTCCCACCCGAAATACACAAAGGATAATTAATGAGAGTGAATAAGAATAAATAGAAATGACAGTGGACGTAAAAGAGAGATAGAAAAATTTCCTTTTCATTTCTCTGAGAAATTATTGTACAATATATTTCTGTCAAATTTCTTCTTGTGAAGTATTATTAGCTATATAAAATGAAAATATGTTAATGTTTAGTTGGAATTAGTTTGAAAAGATATTGGAAAAGTAATACAATATGCAGCCATTCGTTCGGTAATACTTGCATTTAAAAATTTACAATTAAACTTTGCAAGTATTAACGATCCAGGTCTCACTACGTGGAAGTTGCTGCATGTGGAGACCCACGGACTGACGGTGACTCTACTTTACTCTAAAATCCGCGTTCCGCGATACCGATCCCTTATGCCTTCCGCTTCGGATATCTTGGGCATGGGACAAAGCTAACAGGAAGTATCTAGCCTTAGCTACAGGGACTCCACTTACAGAAAGCTTAACCGTTCGACACCCTCCGCCTCAGGCATAACGAATTATTAAGCACATCTGAATTCGTGCATCCGAATTTCGAACAATCAAAGCGTATTAATCGCGTTCGCGACACTCACTCACGTTATAATTACGTAGATTCTACTGTTCTATCCAAATTCGCGAAATAATCTAATCGATATGTCGAAGAAATCAAACGAAGTCCCCGGTAGGACTTTCAATCGCGCACGCGAACACTTACGTGAGTGTTAGAATAACGGTGACTCTAAGTTGAAATCCGAAGCGCACTCCGAATTTCAACACTATAACGAAGTCCATGATAGGACTTGTAATCGCGCCCGGACACCCACGCAAGTGTTCGAAAATCGGTGACTCTACTCTAAATAAACTAATCGAATATTCGAGCAAACAAAACGAAGTCCCCGGTAGGACTTTTAATCGCGCACGCGAACACCCACGCGGGTGTTAGAATAACGGTGACTCTAAGTTGAAATCCAAAGTGACATATGCTAACCGGTATTTAGACTTTCCATGATATTTGTCGGGATTTCCGCCCCGCTACCAAACATGAGGATTGTCATAACATCAGCCAGCTATGTACAGCACTACAAGGTAAACCGTTCGCGCACCCCGAATTTCAACACTAAACGAAGTCCATGATAGGACTTTTAATCGCGCCCGGACACCCACGCAAGTGTTCGGAAAACGGTGACTCTACTCTAAAAAAACGCGTTCGCGAGGTAATCTAATCGAATATTCGAGCAAATATAAACGAAGTCCCCGGTAGGACTTTTAAGTCGCGCCCGCGTTCATTCACGTGAGTGTTAGAAAAACGGTAACTCTACACTAAATTCGCGTTTTCGATTCGAGCTATCAAACGAAGTTTAATCGCGCCCGTGAACACCCACGCCTGTGCTTGCCGACAAGCGTGCGAGTGTTCTCCTATCCTACCCGTATTCTCGCGCATAAAAATCGATGATGAATCCTGCCATGCCATGTATCATCCAGCCGCAGATGACCCTATCCCTTGATGATCTATCCTGAGAAAAAAGAAGATAAGGAAAAAATAAAAAAAGAAAATAGGAGACATATTGAATATCGCTGCATGATTGCACGATCATCCCTGGAAAAGAAAAAAGAAGATAAATAAAAGAAAGATAAGAAAATAGAAATAGCTCTGCACGCTGCTGAAACAACTCTCCGCTTCATCTCATGGGCCCTACCTAATGCTTAAAAATTAAAATTAATTAGAATATATTAATAACAAACCTAAAAACATAAAAACATAATTAAAAAGAAATAACATAAATAAATATTAAAAAAAAATAATTAAAAGGAAATAACATAATAAAAATCTGAAAAGACATAATAAAAAGAAATAACATATTAATAACACAATTAAAAACATAATTAAAAACATAATTAAAGAAGAAAAATATGAGTAATAAAAGATAGCTGCTGAAAAATAAGAAAATTGAAGTAGCTCTGCATGCTGCTGAAACAAGTCCGCTTCATCTAATGGTTCCTACCTAAAATCTGTAAATCATAATTAATAAGAATATATTAAAAACATAATTAAAACCATAAAAACATAATTAAGAAGAAATAACATAATAAAAATCTGAAAAGACATAATGAAAAGAAATAACATATTAATAACATAATTAGAAACATAATTAAATAAGAAAAATATTAGGTAGAAAAGAAAGCTGCAGAAAGATAAGAAAATAGAAGCAACTCTACACGATGCTAAGACAGCAACCCGCACAGAGGCCCACACCCATGTCCCCATCCCATGGGTCCCACCCGAGACTAATAAATCATAATTAATAATAGTAAATAAGAATGAAAAATATGAAATAGAAAAGTCAGCTCCAAAAAGAGAAGAAAAGAGAACCAGCTCTATAAGATGCTGAGAAATCAACCCGCACAGAGGCCCACACCCATGTCCCCATCCCATGGGTCCCACCCGAGACTAATAAATCATAATTAATAGAAAGAAATAACAATGAAAAATATGAAATAGAAAAGAGAGCTCCAGAAAGATAAGAAAAGAGAAGCAGCTCTACAAGATGCTGAAACAGCAACCCACACAGAGGCATACACCCATGGGCCCCTCCCACGGGTTCCACCCGAGATTTATAATGGATAATTAATGATAGTAAACAAGAAAAAATAGAAATGACACCGGACATTAAAGTGTGATAAAATTTCCTTTTCGTTTCTCTGAGAAATTATTGTACAATAGAATTCTGCTATATTTTTTCCTTTGAAGTATTATTAGCGATATAAAGTGGAAAGATTATTAATGTTCAGTATGAATTAGATTAAAAAGATATCGGAAAAGTAAAAAAATATGCAGCCATTCGCTCAGTAATACTTGCATTAAAGAATTTATAATTAGTGTATGCAAGTAATACCGACCCAGGTCTCACTACGTGGAAGTTGCTGCATGTGGAGACCCACGGACTGACGCTGACTCTACTCTAAAATTCGCGTTCCGCGATACCGATCCGCTATACCTTTCCGCTTCAATGCACTGGCTTCTTAACTAACAGGGTATGCGTAGCTTTGCTACTACACACCTCTTACAGATAGCTCCACCATTTGCACCGTCCGCTTCAGACATAACGGATTATTAAGCACATTCGAATTCGTGCTTTCCGAATTTCGAACAATCAAAGCGCACTCCTTAGAAATACTAATCGCGTCGCGACACTCACATGTGTGTTATAATTACGTAGATTCTACTGTTAAGCCGAAATTCGCGTAGTACCCCCATCGAAATTTTGAAGAAATCAAACGAAGTCCACGGTAGGACCTTTAATCGCGCCCGAACACCCACGCGAGTGTTAGAAAAACGGTGATTCTACTCTACAATTCGCGTTTTCGATTCGAACAATCAAACGTAATATAATCGCGCCCGAGAACACCCACGCCTGTGCCCGCCGACACGCGCGCCAGTGTTCTTCCTATCCTTCCCGTATTCGCGTAGAAATCGATGATAAATCT